TCTCTCTCTCTCTCTCTCTCTCTCTCTCTCTCTCTCTCTCTCTCTCTCTCTCTCTCTCTCTCTCTCTCTCTCTCTCTCTCTCTCTCTCTGCTGCTGCTCGTGGCAGTCGACGACGACGTGTCAGACGAGGACGCGTCACTCGACGATGACGCATCACTCGACGATGATGCGTCACTCGACGATGACGCGTCACTCGAGGACGAAGCGCTAATGCTTTCGGAGTCGTCGTCCTCTTGCACGCACGTCCTCCTCCTCTTCGGATTTCTTCTCGGCGACTGGGAGGCTGCAACGACTTTCTTTGAAACTTTCTGTGCCTTCCTCTTCTTCGCCTGCTGAACAACCTCACGCTTTTCTTGCAAGGACGTCGGCGGTGTGACTGTCTTGCATGGCCTGCCTCGTCACCTTCGTCCGGTCGGCCCAGCTGGCTCCTTCGGCTTGTTCTTCCCTCCTTTCTTTCTGCCTGCCAAACTCCGGACTTGACGCACCTTGCTGGCGTCAATTTCGGGGGGTGACACTGCCTCACGTTTTGTGGCTGCAGCTTGCGGGCGGTCGAGTCCTCCATCCTCGTCCACTTCGGCCGTCCTCCTGTCCACTTCGGTCGTCAATCTGGCCCAATCAGGAGTCTGCCCCCCAGAATCGCTCCTCATGGGGGACATAGCAGCCAGGTGTTTCTCGAAGTCTGTCTTCGAGCCTCTTGCAGCAATTGGTGCGACGTGGTGCAACAGGGAGGTGAATCCCTCCCCCAGCGGCAACCCAGGGTCCACAGTGGAGAATGCATTTTACCCCCGCTGCGTCATGAAGCTCGTCATCCTTGCCCGCATCGATGTGCCCGTCCTCGTGTTCCGCATGACCGGGAACGGGAGCGTCCACAGACACACCAAAGTCTTCAACGGCCCTCACCGCTGCACTGCCAACGTCAGCATTCCTCGATCCCCTGCCTGTCATCCCCCGGCATGCGGCCGTCTCCTCCACCTCGGCTCGTGGAAGAGGGGTGTGCTGCGCGTCGGAGGGTGTGCTGGTGACCTGAACCGAAGATACAGCACCGAACACGGAGGTGCGTGGCCGTGCAAGGCGACCAGTGTCGTCGGCCAATGACATAGAAGATGACCCTGAAGCCCCACCGGACGCAGGGCGAACCTGTGGTGTGATGGCGACATCCGTCGCGGAGGATGACCCACCGCCCGACCGCAGAGTGAATCGCTTGTCCGTTAGAGGCACGTTGAGCAACTCCGCGTCACCGTCGTTGTCGTCGCCTTCGTCCTCCTCGTCGTAATCAGCGACGACAGTCTTCCCACGGTCATCGTCCGCGACTCTACGAGGGCGGTACGAAACATGAAGTAGCCATGCCCCGTCGTCCTCCCTCTCCTCCTGAATCTCCCGCACGTCGAATCGCGTGGTTCTCGATCTGCGTCCACGAGATTTCGACCAATTGGCCGCCTCCTACGCACCTCCGCGGGGTCATACTCCCCTTCTCGCATGAAGCCATCGAATGGTGCCTCGTCCTCGGGTGTCTCCCACTCCAGTCGCTCGGTGTTCACGAATCCCATCTTCGCCCTCGACATGCGCAATAACTTCCTGTTCCAGTGGATGAAGACGAGCATCTCCAAGTTCTCCGGGCTCAAGAGATTCCTCCTCTTGGTGTGGACGAGATCGAACGTGGAACAATTCCTCTCACATGGAGAGGCAGTGGTCCACATGCTCAACACTTTGACGACGATCTTCGTCAGGGTTGGGTGCCTTTTCCCGTACGTCAACCACCATTGCGCCATGGACACGTGATCGCCCGTCAAAGCCTCCTCGGCCAATCCACTCTGGAGTCATGTGATGAAAACTCTTCAGGGAGTTCCAACACTCTTTGTACTCCTTCTAGGTCTTCGCATGAATCGAAGCAAAGTGAGTCAGAGTGTTCGCAATCTCTTCGGACGCCAAGTCGTCGAAGAGTCGAGGCGATCTGTGTAGCTGGTGCAACATCCACGCCGCCGCATGTACAGGTAAAGCCATCATTCGCACACGCTTTTTCACTTTCTTCATCATGATGCCCCTTGTCTCACTGTCGATCGGTGTCGCGGCCATTCTCTTCTCCAACGTGATTCCTAAAGACCACACCTGCATACCCATCCTCCCGTCGCTGTCCATGTTCTTCATAAGGGCATACACTGGCTCAAGCACGGTGCATACCCGATCGACAGTCGACCACCAAGCCGGGTCTCGTATCAGCTCCTTGCACGTCCGCGCCCTGGTTACTGCTGCCCTGTCCCATGGAGAGTCATCCCACCGCGGGTTTGAAACAGTCGATAGCAACACCGGCTCACACTCTCGAAGTCGCTGTAGCATGAGGAAGTCTGTGCCGAATCTAGTCTCTCCTGGCCGAATCAACTCCAGCGGTGTAGGGGCCGTACCCTGGAGGACTTTCGACCCTGAGTCGACCCCACTGCGGGTCCCATTTGGCTCGACCCGCCCACGCTCACGCTCAGGGCGCGGATCGTTCATCCTAGGGGCACCCCCACCTAGTGCTTTGAGATGGATGGGGATGGGTCTTTTGCGAGAGGGCTTTACAATGGGGGATGTAGCTCCGCTCTTTGGTCACTCGTGGCGTTTTCTTGATTCAATTAAGTCTGACCAGGCAATTGTTCCTTCCAATACACAAGCAGTCCAGGGAGTTTATTGAAGATTTGTCTTCTTATCATGCGTAGGCCAAGCGTCATCCATTGGACCACGCACCTTTTCACTAAGTCTAGTGGCTCAAGTCGGCCCCTAGGGCATCCTTGGGGTGGGGGGGCATCACCCGAACCCCTAGCCGCTATATATTTTTTTGCTTGAGCCAC